AGGAGTGGCTTCGCAACAACTCTGTGACTGTTCTTGAATGGCCCAGCCAGGGCCCTGACTTAAACCCAATTGAGCATCTCTTGAGAGACCTAAAAATGGCTGTCCACCAACGTTTACCATCCAACCTGACAGAACTGGAGAGGATCTGCAAGGGGGAATGGCAGAGGATCCCCAAATCCAGGTGTGAATAACTTGTTGCATCTTTCCCAAAAAGACTTATGGCTGTATTAGATCAAAAGGGTGTTTCTACTAAATACTGAGCAAAGGGTCTGAATATTTAGGACCATGTGATATTTCAGTTTTTTTTTTTTAATAAATCTGCAAAAATGTCAACAATTCTGTGTTTTTCTGTCAATATGGGGTGCTGTGTGTACATTAATGAGGAAAAAAAATTAACTTAAATGATTTTAGCAAATGGCTGCAATATAACAAAGAGTGAAAAATTTAAGGGGGTCTGAATACTTTCCGTACCCACTGTATAAACTCCTACCCCTAATTGAATCGCGATTTGTTTAGCATCTCAACCGATTTGAATCGTCACATATTTGAATCGATTTTCATCCGGCTCGCGGTTCATCGTTACATCCCTATATTCTATTCTAGACGGTAACGTTGTTCATGTATTATTAATACAGATGTTCAAGAATAAAACCAAATTGGAATATTTTCAAAATGGAATTTGTTCTCAACACAAATTTTATTCCTAATGCAGGCAAATTGGTAACTGTATGGGAATATTAATAAATTAATGATAAAACACAACTTGGCTATTTAGAATCATATGAATTAAACAAATAATGAAAGGACAGTTATCAGTATATTTAGTATTATTTCAAGACTATTACCAATATTTTAAATGACCTTTTATTTTTATATTTTCATTTTAATTTTAGTTTACGTTTGAGTCATTTTTTGTTTTTTGTATATTTTTATTTAGCTTTTATATATTTTCATTTCAGTTTTAGTTTTAGTAATATTAATACATAAACATATTTTATTTTATGGTTGCGTTTTGTTTATAGTTTTTGTTATAGTTAGTCTTCATGGCAACATTTCTACGTTTTTTAAGTTCATGTTTATTTATTGCTATACTATTCTACACTATATATACTATTTCTATACTATTATTTATATATGTATTATTTCTATAAGTACTTATTTACTAATATTTTGAATTAGCATTTATTTCTATACTTTTAATTGTTCATTTTAATTTTAGTTCAGGTTTTTGCCATTTTTCGTCGTTTTGGTTTGTTTTTTATTATTTTTATTTAGCTTTCCTATTTTTATTTCCATTTTAGTCATTTTAATACTTATTTTATTTTATAGTTGTATAACTTTTTTATAGTTACTCTTTACGGCAACATTTCTAAGTTTCATTTAAGTTCATGTTTTTCATCTAATATTTGTGTTTTACATCATTTCGGCATTATTTCAATGAACCAGAAGCTATTTTCAACAATTGTAGTTCTAGTTAACAATATCAACACTGACCGTTATGGCACAATAATTGAAGCATCTTACCCCATTCTGCCATAAGCTTTACTGTACGACGGGTCGATGGCAATCGCTCGCTCACAGTCTCCCGTAGCCTCTGTGTAGTTTCCCAGCTTACTATGTGCCGCGGCCCTGAGAGAACAATCCCAGCAGTCAACACCAAACATAAAAACATACGTCTCTATGACTGACGCATTCTCAACGCATTCACCTGTTACAGTAATACACTGCATTTCTTTGGTCCAACTCAATGGCTTTTGTATAACAGTCCACAGCGCTGCTATAATTCTCCTCTTTCATGTGGTTATTCCCTGATAAAGACAAAAGCATGTGAGTGCACAGAGCATCGGGAATACAGCATTCATCAATTATTGATCCTGGTTTTATTTGCATCATTACAATGGAAAGATGTGATGACAGATGCCATTTAGTTATACATAATGCATCCTGACAAATTAATTGAAAAGTGTTTTTAGTCTAAGTACAGCAGGAAAGTGTGACATGCCCTCATTTTTCAGCTGCTCAGCTCTCTCGATGTCCTCTGGAGATGGAAACGTCTCAGGTAATGAAACAATATCATTCTGTAAACGACAATTAGACAAGAGTCTTTGGGAAAGGAGGCAGAATGCTCAAATCATGCTTGCTGCATAATATATTGAGTAATAAAAACCAGTACTCAAAATAATGAAAGAAAAACAGGTCGGGGTGTAATAAATGTAGTTACTTTGAGGAGGGAATTGAGGAATATCTCTCTCAGCGGCTGAGGGGCGGCAAGATGATAGTCACTGGAGCTGATCTTGAAAGTCGTCTCCAGACACTGTACTGCAACTATAAACAGGAGATTAATGTAATCATATTATTTTTTCAGTAGGTGCCATTATATCCAGAAAGAGTGCCATTACACTGCTCATATGTGGGTGTTTTGAATTGTTCTGTGAATATAGTGTAAAGTGTAATCTGTAAAACATGTCAAATGTTTTACTGTGATGTTATGTTTTGCTGAGATATAAATAAATAATTTCAGAATTTATTTTGTAAAAATGAATGATACCCATTTTTACACAAATTATGACTGTTGCACAGTTGTGATGTCATTTCTCTCATTTCCTGTCAATAATAAAGTGTATATTTTATATACATTTTTATGTCAATAATTAGTGTACTTGGTACACGGTCAGTGAAGAGCATGTTTGGGATGAGACGTGATGTGTGATAACAAATAAATATTACTCATTAACATAATATCCAGGTGAATTGCATTTTAGTTAAATTATGCAATATGTATGCCTTTTTGTATTTATTATTAGTTATTTGTGTCTATTTAGGATACATATAATGCTCACTATGCAAACAGACTTGTAGTTGGACATTTTATTATAAAAATATTGAAAATGTACAGCAATCTTTGGGATACCAAACATTTGGTCTCAGTTTAATTCAAAACAACTGGATATTTGATCCTTTACCTCTTTGTTAGCTAGGCACCGTATTCTGCTCCACTGGAAATCTAATAAACCTCCAACAACCTCCCAATGGCTAGTGGATACCATGTTTTTTTGAAACTGGAAAAAGTAAGATGTTCTGGGAAAAGTAATTTCTTCAATAAATGGCATCCCTTTATAGCTTACTTCAGGTCTCTTAATATTCTACTAATATATATATATTTGTATTAAGTATATATTGTATTTTATCTATTTGTATTACAATGACTACTATTTTCTATAATTAGTTGTATTCTTTATTTTATGATAGTTTTGTAGTTATTTTATTTACTTTAAAAAAAAATCTTCCGTTCTAATTCTTCCGTTCTAAATCCGTTCTTTCTTTCTTTTTTTTATTGGTTATGTATTATGTTTGGGTTTGGTCTTAAAATGTAAAAAATATATATATATTACTTGTTGTAATAATATTTGTTTTAATAAAAAGTTTGAACGTAAAAATATTGAAAATGTAATTTAAATGACGTCAAAAAATGTGAAATGTGATGGAGCTGGTTTAGAAGAAATACCAGGATGCTCCTGTAATGAATGTAACATACACTTTTGGACAATGAACTAGTGAGCGTGTGAAAAGTGTGTGGGAGCTTATTTTCTAAATTGAGTTTATTTTTCGGCTTTTTTTCTATTTTTTGGTCCAAAAGTGCCCATAGTTAAAGATCATAAAGATGATTTCATGTATACACAAACTCATCTAATTATTACAAATGAGATGTACACAAAATTGCTGAAATAATAGTAAAAAAAGTAAATAAATAAGAGCAGAAAATGTTCATAATGTATTATTGACAAATCATTCAGATTGTGGAACTGACACACTGCAAAAAATGCTTTTATGGTAAACATTGTCTTGTTTCCAGCCAAAATATCTAAAAATTCTTAAATCAAGAAGGATTTTCTAGACAAGTAAAAATGATTGTCTTGTTTTCAGAAAAAACAAGTCGAATTCAAGTGAGTTTTTGCTTGAAACAAGCAAAATAATCTGCCAATGGGGTAAGAAAAATAATCTTGTTTCAAGCAAAAACTCACTTGAATTCGACTTGTTTTTTCTGAAAACAAGACAATCATTTTTACTTGTCTAGAAAATCCTTCTTGATTTAAGAATTTTTAGATATTTTGGCTGGAAACAAGACAAAAGATCTAAGCTAGAAAAGCATTTTTTGCAGTGCACAAGGGTTTTATAGCTATCCGCTCCATTAACATGCTCTTGTGAAAAAAGTGCAAATAAATAAATAAATGTAATAATAATACTTATTATATGAATATGAAAAGTGCAAACTGAATGTATTGCTTTTATACATGTAACTGCAAGTTATTTACAATGAAATGAAAATATATTGTACTTTAAATTTATATTAAATGCAATTTGCTGAGCTCTCCAGCTCTTTTTTTGGCCCAATTACATAGGACTTCAATACATCTGTATATTTAATTTCATAATGACTTGTATTGTTTATGAAATACAGCATGGTTAAAGTGTACCGCTGAATGCACCGACAAGCATTTATGATAAACAAGAATATAATGCTATTTCTCTTGAAACTTTTCATGCATATATTATTAATTACACATTTGCAATGACGACATTGCAATTTTGTACATTTCTACGTTAACTTTAATATATTAACTTTAGATTAAACTGCTAATAACACACTGAAGTTAAAATGATAAAAACCAAGTACTTGTGCTTTACTATCTTTGTCAGAATAACAGTACTTATTAAAGCACAACAAAAGATTTGTTAAAACATGACGTTTCAAATATACTTGAATAATGGTTATCAGCAGTTCATGCCGATAATCTCATCAAATATTACCCAGCTGATCCACCTCTCTGATAAATCAGGCCGATATATATCACTAATAATAATGATGTGGTTCCAAGAGCTTGCTGTGGTGATTTACCGTCCCTCTGACCGAACAGTGACCAGAATCTGAACAGCCAGCCCAAGAGTAAAAAAGGCCTGTGACTTTCACTGTTTTAAGCACGAGGGTGACCTACCTTCCAGACTTTCCTGTTCATCTGAATTCAGCGAGCCACAGTGAGTCTGATCTCTGAGGAACTGGATGATAGAATACGCCAAGCGCTTTTCCACTGCCATGCTGTCTGGGAGAAACCTGGGGAAAGATTTGTTGGAAAAGCTGATTCTTTTTAACTGAATCAGAACATTACAGGAAAAGCTGGCATGGATGGGTCAGCTGAAAGAGCAACAATCATATAACATAATCATTTTCCACTTGCAAAATATTCACTAAAACAGAAAACATGATTAATAAATGTATAGACTGACAAGGCTGTCAGTACACTGTGCACTTGACTAGATGTACTATACTAAGCATATTTATACAAGTCATGTTGCTGCAGGGGTTAATTACATAACATTCATCTATCAATGACTTTATAAGCTTCTGCTCACCAAAGCTATATGCTCGTATTATGAAATATAAAACGGTTCTGGTCCCCTTACAGAGTGCATAGGATAGTTTCATGCGACTGTAACACACAGTGAGTTATTCACGGATAAATAGCACAAGCCAAAACACATATGAGGCAGTTATGCTGACAAAGGAATCCGCATGTCCTCCCACAACATGAAATATGATTTAGTGTCAGGTATAAGTCACAATAACCCCGTTAAGTGCAGCTGCGCCTCACAGATGGGTGGTGTTTACACTGGTTTACACAGAGGAGATTGCAGGAGCTGCGATGGCTGAACACATTCGCAGTTTAATTCACGGACAGAAGGAGAGACCTTCGCAAGCGTAGGTCTCTGGTGCTCTCTCCAGGACCCCCGCGTCTCATATTCAGCGCAAAAACATCAATAAGATGATATATTCTTGAGGATGCTGTGCGCGCCCCCGCCCACCTACCTGGAGAAAGAGGCTGCAGCGCTCGCGCCAGACACAGCGTCGCGTCAGACTGACGCTCTGCACTGCGCATGCGCCGCCGAGCCGCGCCGGAAATATGTCTGCTCGAGAACTACAATAAAGATTTTATGAATCGTACTACGGAAAAGGGGCTAATTTATATAAGGTGTGTGTGTGTGTCTGTCTGTGTGTGTGTGTGTGTCTGTGTGTGTCTATGTGTGTGTGTGTATTTGTGTGTTTGTGTCTATGTGTGTGTGTGTGTGTATTTGTGTGTGTGTGTGTGTGTGCGTGTATTTGTGTTTGTGTGTGTGTGTGCTGGTTTATATATCCTGGTGGGGACTTAAACCTGACTACACACAGACTCATGGGGACTCGTGTCACGCAAAGGCTTAAAAAAACATACTAAATGGTGTTTTATGAAATTAAAATGTGAGGGGTAGGTTAAGTTTGTACAGTATAAAAACCATTACACCTATGGAGAGTCCCCTTAAACCATAAAAACAAACCTGTGTGTGTGTGTGTGTGTGTGTCCATTATTTATTTAATTATAATAGCCTTAACTGACTCGAATTCAAATAACTCTGTACACTGGCAAGAAAAAAGTAAGAGAACCATTTTACATTTTCTGGTTGTCTGCATAAATTGGTCTTAAAATTCACAAATATCAACAAACACAATATTTCTAAGCTAAAAAAAACCCCACAAACAATCATCATCTTTCGTGTCTTTATTGAGCACACTCATTAAACATACAAAGTGATGGTGGAGAAAGTAAGTGAAACACTGGGCTTCTGGTGTCACTAAATGCCAAAGGAGTCAGATGTTAGCAAACCAGGAGTCCAATCAATGAAATGAGAATAAAGGGGTGGTTTAGAGCTAAACTGACTCGTATAAACACCCAAACAGTGTCAGTGTGCTTTTCACAACCCTGTTGAAAAAAACAGCATATATTTTGAAGCAAGGCTGCTGGTTTGAGGTGGTTTAAGCTGAGCAGGAGCTAGTTGCTTAGGACCAGCACATGACCAGCTCAAACCAGCAGCCATGCTTCAGAACATATCTAACCAGCATATGCTGTTGTTTTTTTTCAACAGGGAAGCAGCATTAGCTGATGTGAGCCATGCCTCGCAAAATATCTCAGAAGACCTCTGATCAAGAGTTTTTGATATGCATGGAAAGGGTTACAGAGTAATCTCAAAGACTTTAGATATTCATCAGTCCACGATGAGAAGTGACGATATATTACTGTGGCTACTCTCCATAGAAGTGAGTGCCCAGCCAAGATCTCGCCAAAGGCACAACGCAGAATACTCAATGAGGTGAAAAAACACTAGCTAAAGACTTGAAGCTGGTTAACATCTCCGTTCATGAGTCAACCATACGTAAACCATTGGACCAACAGGAGGTACACCATGAAGGAAGCCACTGCTCTCCAAACAAAACATTGCAGCATGCATAAAGTTTGCCAAAGACCATATCTTGTGGACAAATAGAACATGCAGCATGTATGGCGTAAAACGAAAACAGCGTACCAACATGAAAACATCATCCCAGCAGTGAAGTATGGTGTGGAGGGAGCATCATGATTTGGACTGCTTTGCTGCCTCTGGCCCTGGACCGCTTGCCATTGTGGAGGATAATCTCAAGGTGGCTGCCCGCAAGCTGAAGCTCAGAAGAAGCTAGGTGATGCAGCAGGATAACAACCCTAAACATTTAAGTAACTCTACTACAGAATGGCTTCCTCCTTTTGGAGTGGTCCAGTCAAGCCCAGACCTCAACCCAACAGAGATGCTGTGGAATGACCTCAAGAGAGCCATTCAGCAGACTTCCTAAGAATATGAGTGAGCTGAAGCAGTTCTGTAAGGAAGAACGGTCCAGAATTACCCCTGGATGTTGTGCAGGTCTAATATGCACAGCTATAGGAAGCGCTTGCTTGAGGTTATTGCTGCCAAAGGTGGTTCAGCCAGTTATTAAAGCACTGTTTCACTTACTTTTTCCATCATCACTTTAAATCTATTTATGACATTATTTTTGACAGCATCCTCATTTTACAGCATTTTTTACACAAGTGCCTAAAACTTTTAACAGTACTGTAGCTTTGCAGGTTTCTTGAAGCATCTTTGCCACAGTTCTTCTGGATTTAGTCTGTCCAAGTTTTTCTGTCATAAAATAATATACACATTTATGGTAATATCAATACATTAAATAATATTACATTTACATTTAGTCATTTAGCAGACACTTTTATCCAAAGTGACTTACAAATGAGGCAATAGAAGTAGTTCAAATCAACAAAAGAGCAATGATATGCATTAGAATTTATGATATTATTTATTTATATAAACAATGTAAATAATAAAGTGAAATAATTATATATGCATGTCTGTGTCCCCTATTATATATGAAATAATAAATAATACGAATAAATGAAATAACTTTTAATGTTTTACATATGTTGTCCATTTCATTTTTCATGTAGGCCTATATTTTAATGTTTATATATATACTGTAATAAAAAAATGTTGTTTTGATGTCAAATAAGTCATGCTTGTTAAAGCAGTGTTGCTGTTGTAAAGTTGTACAGCTACAGTTGTGTTGCTGGGTTTTAAAGCAGGTTTGATTTTTCTTTCTTTCTAATCAGTCTGTATTTACAGGATTTTTGTGTAATGTACGTGTAAAATGGAGAGGAAAAAATCATGCCACCGTTATCTGTTTAATATCCATAAGCCAATCTTTCACCGCATTCATTAATTCTACCTTGTAGCCAATCAGAACGCTCTGTCTGGAGAACGTCAGGTTACGTAATTAATATGCACACTCCAAGCCTTCATCTAGTACTACTAGTATATTGGTTTAACAGTCGAGTGTGACGGTAGGAGTTGCACTCCTATGAAACTATAGGCATGCGATGTTACCCTCGGCATTTCTGTGTTATTTAACACACTTTATGCTGTTTGACTGGGGTGCCATTATTACTACTGTAGTAACCAACTGCATGAACCTGACTGGGCTCTCGTAGACAAACTATAAATGTTCAGACTTACTCGGCCTTCTTACCTTACAAAGTGTTAGTATGAGAGGATATCTGGTTTTAATCAGGTTATCGCATAAGCTTCTCTGAAAAGTAGGCAATGCAACTGGCAGATGTGAAGTAGTGTAAGTGTAGCACAAGCAGATCAGGTTCACATTCCCTATTTTGAAAGACATGTGAAAGTGCCCATCGTTAGTACGGAAAACATTCACAGCATGCAGCCCTGCACAGCACTCAGGTTTCTCTTCTTTCAGTATTATGTATACAGTAATGTGTAGCTTTTCTTTTTCTAAAGTTACGAGAAGCTACACTACATACAAGTGCACATGCAAATGTATGCAGGCTAATCATTTTTGCACAGTGGCCAGTCACTGGCTCTTTCTTTAAAACATTGCAGAGTCATTTTGTCCAGCTCAAAGCTCAAGATGACACTTCAGAATGGATCAGTCATATCCGCCCACAGCTGCTCCAGCACAGCGGACAAGAACAACAACCTGCGATGGGACCTGGCCCCAGAAGAGATCAGACACCAGACACAGAGACTGATCCAGCGGATAAAGCAAGCCTATGACACAGTGGGCTCGGTGGACATTGGGAAGGTGTGCTTTGAGAATACACTGCAAGTCATTGCAGATGCAAACGCAGATTATGCCGGTGAGTGGTGGAACAATAACGTACATATTAATGTATATATTAATATTAATCTTATTCACTGTTCTGTGCTCTGTTTCAGCTTCACGGCATGTGTTGGACTTTCCTCAGTATGTCTCTCCATGTAAAGAGGTGAGATTGGCGAGCACCGAGGCTGACAAACGCCTGTCGGATTTCGATGTGGAAGTGAGCATGAGGGTAGACGTGTTTCAGAGACTTATAGCTCTGCAGGTAACACAATGCAGAGTCATGCACAAAAATGATTCTGAATAATTTTGCTACTCTGCACTCGTCCATTTTATTTTATTTTATTTCTGTATTATCCTTCTATACTATTTTCATTTATTATCCTTCTATTTTATTTTATTCTATTGTTATTACATTTTTTCTGTATTATCCTTCTATATTATTTTTATTTTATTTTCAAGTTTCAAGTCAAATGTAGCACCTATAAGCAAGTATGCGATATTGGACACAGTTGTGGTGTGTCCTCCTCTCAAGTTTCATGAAAAATATCTTCATTTGCATTTCGAAGATGAGTGAATCTTGTGTTTGGAACAAACTAATTCGATTTCTTTTCCATTCAAGTTCAGTATTTTTAAATGTTAAAACCATTTTTATTAATATCAACTGCTTATTACATGGTTTAGTGGGTGATTGTCTTGAATGAACAGTGTTGGGGGTAACGCGAGTTACGTAATCAGATTACTTTTTTCAAGTAACTAGTAAAGTAATGCATTACTTTTTAATTTACAAGAGAATATCTGAGTTACTTTTTCAAATAAGTAACGCAAGTTACTTTTTTTCCAATGTATTGACTAACAGCTCTCCTGTCCCCATGTTGAGAGAAATCAGATGTTACTGTAGTTCTAAAATAAAAATGAATATGCATTAATTCGTCTCACTCACACAAAAAAAAAAACAGATTCAGTATTCCTCAAAATGAATAAAAATAATGCAACTCAGAATATAACGCAAACCTTCAATAATTAAATGTTAAACAACACAAATATGCTTTATGTATTTAATCCCATTCTATTAACCAATGTCTTTGCTTCTGGCCTTCGATGAGTCAGTTCAAGCGTACTAATAAGCACAAATTACTCTAGACAAACATTTGTGTGTCTTTGTTTATTGCTGAAGTGTGTTGAAATTTCTTCTTCTGTATTCTACTGTACGGACGTAACTGTACTTTCCTTCAGCCTGAGGCTTATTCATTTCACTTTTGGTGTGAAAAGGCTTTTATATTTGCCAAAAATATAACTTTTTTATTTTAAAAACAAACAAGCAAGCCCTGTCCA